ATTTTATGCTTCTAAAAGGGTAGAAACAGGTTCCACAAAACCATGGTTACGAGTTAAACCTCAGTTGGTTTGTTGTATCGATTGCTTTCTTGAAAATTTTCTATCTGCATACATTGCTTGAAATTGCTTCTTGAAATCAGTTTGTTTCAGTTTCTCTAATGCTTTTTCCATCAAGGGTAGAACAAGTTCGATTTTATTTGTATCAGTAGAAATAAATTCTATTTTATGCTTCTAAAAGGGTAGAAACAGGTTCCACAAAATCATGGGTACCAAATTAAACATCAGTTGTTTGTGAACCAACATACATCTGCTGCTTTGTTTATATCTTTTGCTTTCTATTGATTTTTCTATCGATTTTGATTTGTTTGTGTTTAGTGCCAGTTGGTTTGTTTGTATTGATTGCTTATGTTGTTTTTATTCATACTTTATCTGATTGGTAGTTGTTAGGTAGAAACAAGTTCCATATGCTGCTAAAAGTGTAGAAACAAGCTCCACCGAGTTCAATAATTTTACTAGATCTATATTGAAGAAAACTGTATATTCATTGTCCAGTAAACAGTGGTTCATTTGGGAACTCACATAAACCATATGAGCTGGTGCATAAAATCACTATTTTAAGGATACTTTTTTATCTGCTAAAAGCATTGTGAGTGCTATATATTTTTGGATGCCATAAAACCATATTGGTTGCATTTTCCTGGATCCCACTATTATAAGGATGCTTTTCACCTTTTGCACCAAGTAAATACCATATTGGTTGAATTATTATGGGTTTTTTTGGATCATTTTGGGCAATACAAATCAACCTGTTTCATTGATGGAATCCATAGAAGTTGGTTTTAATTGGATAAAAGACAAAAACAATGAATAAAAGAACGAAAATGCCTCTTGTTAGAAGGAATTTTTTAACAGTCGTTAGAGAAATGGACCAAATCCGAAAGTTTTTGCAAACAACAATGCGTATCTTGTAATTTTCAAATTGCAAGGATGTAAATGTTAGTTTCGACGAACCATAGAGACAAAATTTGTAGTTTAGTCAACCATTTACTATATTGAAAAAATTGTAATTGACTTTTTTTATTTAAAGTTATATTTAAATAATTTACAAATTTATATGCTTTTTTATTTTTATTTTTTATACATTTATGTGTTTGTATTGAGAAACAAAAATGTACTATATTGAAAAAATTGTAATTGACTTTTTTTATTTAAAGTTATATTTAAATAATTTACAAATTTATATGCTATATTATTTTTATTTTTTATACATTTAATTTTAAGTATTTTTATTGGTGTAAAAAATAAAAAATAAATCTCTTTTATTAGAAGTCTTTTTTAGAAAGTTCTTTGAATCGTTGGAGATCTTATTAATAATATATCATAATAAATTCAAGCATTTTTAAAGTAAACTTCAATTTTGGTCCTAAGGTTTACCTGAAATTTATAAATCAAGATGTCATTCTTAAGATACAATTACTTTTTATTTATTGTCATCCTATTCAGGACCAATAGAATCACTTGGGTTATCGTTTTGGTTGATAAGTTAAATTTTTGGTGTAATCATGTGATATGGGTGTGATAATCATGTGATATGAAGAAGAAGCATGAACGACATGGAGAAGAAGAAAACTAACAAGAGTAAAACGTGGAAACGTGATAGGATAATTATGCTTAATTAAAATAAAATAAAAATTATAAAAATTAATTGATTACATTACTGTCCTTATTAAATTATTTATATATAATAGAAGTTAATTTATTAATTAAAAAAGTTTGAGGTTATTAAGTTGTTCTTGCATTCTCGTAAATCACAGGAGTTCTCGTTTGAACCACATATTGTGATAAAAAAAATAAAATTAAAAGATTTTTAAAATTAAAATTGAAATTTAAAAAGATTCAGAAAATATTAAAATTAAAAGGGTAATAATGGAARTKATATCATAAAATCTTTTAATACGATTACACGATCATGATTATCATTATCTAATAAACGGTTAATCATGTGATATGTGTGTGATAATCATGTGATTATCACACAATTATCACATTATCGCCTATATCAACACGATTTGGTGTGATATGGGTGTGATAATCATGTGATTATCACACAATTATCACATTATCGCTTATATCAACACGATTTGGGTGTGAGAATCATGTGATTATCACACAATTATTACATTATCGCTTATATCAACATGATTTGGTGTGATTTGGGTGTGATAATCATGTGATTATCACACAATTATCACATTATCACTTATATCAACACGATTTGGTGTGATTTGGGTGTGATATTATCACACAATTATCACAAGGATTCCGTTCGACTAGGATTAACTTAGAAAATCGACTACCAATTTGGTGTGATATGGGTGTGATAATCATGTGATATCACTATTATAACAGCGCACTCGATTTGATCATGGTTTCGATCGGTTAGGATTAGACGATCACACATTTATCACAACGATTACGGACGAAATCCACTAAACRATTTGGTGTGATATGGGTGTGATAATCATGTAATATCACTATTATAACATCACTTACGCACTCAATTTGATCATGGTTTCGATCGGTTAGGGTTAGACAATCACACATTTATCACAACGATTACTTATGGTTTCGATAGGTTATGGTTACACTTGATTGATCATGGTTTCGACAGGTTATGGTTACACAATCACACAATTATCACAAAGGGAGAGAAGAGAGTGGAAACGAACGTGCAGGAAAAAAAAGGGATAATTATGACTAATTAAAATAAAATAAAATTATAAAAATTAATTAATTACATTACTGCTGTTATTAATTTATTTATATTTAATATAAGTTAATTTATTAATTAAAAAAGTTTGAGGTTATTATATTGTTCTCGCGTTCTCGTAAATCACAGGGGTTCTCGTTAACCTCCACCTATATATATATTAGAAAGGTACTCATGCAATACATCGAGACACATCTTGATTTCAGTATTTTGTTTTATTCTTTTCTTATGTCGATATAATATTATTTTATGTGGTTTTGAGAAAGCAATAATGTTTTTATTTTTGAATAAAATATAAATTTAAAAATATCATAAAATTTTGAAAAAAATATATCGATATTAGTATCAAATTAATCTTTTTAAAAGTTTTTGTGTTTTGGTGTAATTTTTTCCTAATTCAATTTTTTAATTATACTTTAATTTAGGTTTATTAACAAAGAAATTTAATTTAAGTTTAATAATATAACTTTTTATAAAGATAATAACTAAGTATTCTGTTAGAATGCAATGATTATCCTGATTATATTTTAGATTTTTTATATTTAGAATGAGATGTTTATCCAATATTTGATTATATTTATCTGCAGTTAGTTACACGAATTCAAATATAAAGCTTTAATAAATTGTACTTATGCATAATTTACTTGTAATCTTAAATTTTAAGTAATATGCATAAATAAACAGTACTTCGTGCATAAAAAATAGTTTTTAAAATTTTTTGTCAAATGCTTTATAGTATAGTATATGTATATACATATATATATATATATATATATATATATATATGAGCGATCAAATGCAAACCACCCAATTTGTACAAACAATGCAAACCACCTTCATTCGTCGATTTCATTGTTTAATCTTATGAAAAACTTTCATTAAATTGTTTAATCTTGTGAAATTGTTTCATATAATACTTTTTTTTGATGAAGTTGTTTCATACATGATTATGAAATTGTCTCATATAATTCTTAATGAAATTTTAATGAAACTGTTTCATGTATTTTTTTAAAATTAAAATAATGAAGATGATAATATCCATGATTAACACCCTCCACAATAAAAATGATTAATCAACCTCTCATAACTAAAAAAAATGAACAAAATGAAAAACTATGATTGGTTAAATGAGGTTTGTACGGTTTATACAAATAACGTGGTTTGCAAAGTAAACCTCCTGTATATAGATATATTACAACGATATATGGACAACAAAAATACATTTATACATTATCACACTTATTATAATGTCGATAAACAAGTAATGGGTGTGTGTGTATATATATATATATATAGGGGCCTAATCAAATGAGAACTAATTAGTTTGTGGTAACTGTGAGAACCAATATTAACCACAAATCAATAGATAAATTAGGAAATTTATAATTTTGGCAATTTTGAATTAAAATTTTAATGCAAGGATATTTTGGTATTTTACAACTTTCCTCCCTTCTCTCTTCTCTCTCCGGCCACCGTCCTCCGGTGATACTACAATGGTATCACAATGAATCATATATGTGCTTGGGTATCACATTGATGTCGTTTGTGTGATCGATCGAAGATGTAACACAGTGGTATCACTATGCATCTTATATATGATTAGGTATCACAATGTATCTTTTGTTTAACAGAGTCAATATTTTTAGGTATCACAGTGGTATCACCGGAGGACGGTGGCCGGAGGCCGGAGAACGGTGGCCGGAGAGAGAAGAGAGGAGAGAGGAGAGTTTTAAAATACCAAAAATATCCTTGCATTAAGATTTTAATTTAAAATTACCAAATTTATAAATTTTCTAATTTATCTATTGATTTGTGGTTAATATTGGTTCTCACAGTTACCACAAACAACTCAGTTCTCCCTTGAATATGCCCCTATATATATATATATATATATATATATATACACAATTTTTTTTTATTAAGGAGCTGTTTGGAAAGTTACTGAATGGTTTAATGCAGAATGATTAAAAAACTCTCATGATATAATGCAAAACGTAATATAATTGTTTGGTAATTATTTACAATAAAATCAGAGTGCGGAATGGTTAAGGAAGACCATGATACAAAATCATTCAGAGGGTTTTGGAACCATTAAAAGACAGACTTTCTTTACCAAACAAGCTTCACCTCTAATGATTCAAAGACTGTCTCTTAATAAAAATATTAAAAAGTAAACAAACAACCCCTAATACTCAAGTTAATCCAACTATCATAAACAAACTTATTTTATTTATTTTTTATTGGAGAATTTATTTAATTTTTTGAGTCACTGAAAATTTGAATTTTAGTTGGGCCTGGGCTTTGAATATAATCCAACTCTCCCGTCGGTTTGCCACAAGCTTGCTTCCACAGAGGAGGGATCCAGGTACCGAACGGAGGACTCAGAGCTGTGAGATTGAACAATTCGTCGATCGGAATCGGGCGGACGTCGATCGGACTTGGGCTTTACCGTTGATCGGAATTGGGGTTTTCAGTTGCTAACTGAAGAGCAAACGCAAGAATCAGTAAGACAGAAGAGAGGATGCTGCCGACAACATCGAAAGGGCGAACGCCCTCTCGCGCCAATCCCATTTTCCCTCAGTACCTCCGGAGAATAGTCAAGGTTCCAATCTTTTCGCTTCTATATGCTTATAATGAAAATCATGATGTGGATTTTGAGCATTGTTGTAGATCTGATCTAGTTGCTGATCATTTTGATTTTCAACCTTTTTTCGCCTCAAATTGAGGTTTGCATTTTAATTGCTTAATGGAGTGTACAAAATTTAAGGAGTTAATTGTTAGTGAAACACACTACGTATTTTTGTTGTCCGCTCTAGGTATCAGTTCGGGGGTTAGCGTTGGGGAGATTGAATTTGATTTGAAGCCCATATGCGTGGATTTTGACTCGCAAGTCATCACTGTGAAAGTAGTAAAATGCTTTGTGGTCAGTGACTTGTCAGCTTACTTACTTGATGGGCTGACCGGCTGACTCTTAGGACTGATATAGGCTGACTCTCAGACACAATAAAGTTGAACATTTCAGTAGTATGTGTTAGGTGGTTTAGTAGTTATGTGCAAATGTTGTATGCAATATACTTGGTAGATCCAAATAAATTTATATAGCTTATAATTTCAGGCATAGACAAAAGCTTATAATCAATTTTGGAACAAAGGGAAAACCATTTTGTGTATATATGGAGGCCATAAAAGAAGCATGTTGTATTGGGGTTGTTCTTAAGGGTTGAGAGGGGAATATGGTGCAATCCATCCTTTTAAAAGTCCATCGTTTAGATTTGCGACCATCTCAAGATATTTGAACATTGTTACAAATTTTTTGCGTTTCACATGTAATATTTGAATATAACCCGTTGACCATGTTCAATAAAAGTATCTGTTATCAGAAAGCTAGACTACAGCACGAGTATCCTCTCTGGTATTACAAGCTTCCAGAATGGTTTTTATCTTGGATTTATATGCGGGCTGAGAAAAGCATCAACTATTCTACGATCAATGGTATCTGTGTTTGCTAGTTATGATAGGGCAGATGTAGAGTTGGTGTTTGGATGTGCGTTTCAAAGTTAATATATAATACTTCATGAATCATAACCGGAATTAGATAATCTCTTGATTAAAGTTAGGCATAGTTAGGTAATTTTAAATTAAATATCAATAATGGGTTTTCTTAAAAAAATTCCTTCTCCGCTTCTCCAAATCTAATTATTATGACCATTGAGAATCAGAATCAAATCAAGCTTTGCTTAACCATTACAATAGTGATTATTTTGACTTCAAGTTGCAATAGTCACTTTTGTAGCACATACAAAACACTGCCAGAATGGGGAAGGATCACATTATTAATGTAACTAACTGGCCAAAGAGGTAAAATAGATTTGCTTTATTTGTAAATTGTAATATTAACACATGGAAACTACTTTGGGTTATCCTAGAAAAGGTACAAAATAACCCCTTTTTTGGGACAAAGAGGACAACCTTTTCCTGAACTTTCTTGGTTAAACATGGTCATTAGTTTAATATCTAGGGTAAAAATCAAGGACCATTTTACATGTGGGTTAAGGTAGATTACCTTTGGGGACCTGCAGGTGCATCTTAGAATGTTACTTCAAATTAAACATAGAAATATTATATTGGTAAAGCATTATACCGTGTACAACTTTTGACCCACTTTATGTTACATATATAGCTTTGACTTGGAACGATGTTGTTATTTGTTAATATAAAAAGTTGTGCGATTGTGATAAAGCCATTGCTTGAATTTTGTCTTCAATCAATATTATGATGTCATTGTTGATTTGATATCCATAGAAAGATCAAGAATAACTGAGTCATATTTGGAAGAATTTTTCTTCTTCCAAAAGAATGATAATGGGAGTAGCATTGTGTTGTGTGGATTAGGGGATTGGTTCTAGAAAGCATGGAAAATGTAAGTTGTAGACTTGTAGATCAAGTGACTGAAAAAACTGAATAGTTACATATGACAATCTGAATCCATTAGTAATTGTGAATAAATTTAGAGCATACCATTACATCAATCACATGATTTCCCTTCTTTGCTTCAAATGTACTTTAACCAAATATTGAATTTTTATCTAGAAATCAATTTTAGTGATATCTAGATACTGACAGCTTATAGGGGTATGGAAATGGGTCTGCACCATAGAGGGACTAGCTACTGGTGTGTTTATTGTTATATGAGATTGTGAATCCCCAAGCCGTAATTCTTCAGTGTCTAATTTATAAGAGCCTAAGGGGAAACAAGATTGAAATAAGATGATATATAAGAGGATAACAGAAGTAGTAAATAGGGAAGATGAGTAACCAAGATCCTTGACACCAAGTTGCCATGTGAAGTGCATCTTTAGTGGCTAGTGGGATGATATTAAGAGAAGTAGAACAAATTTTGTATTGTGTTCCTTGTCATCCTTAAGATTCTTCTCTAAGTTCTATTGCATTGTTCTCGATTAGGATCTCGTCAATCTTTCCTCTTTTCTAGGAAGCTGACTTATTGGTTGATATCTATAGAAATGGAAGTCTTCTCCTAATTTGACCAAGTCTATTTTAGTTGGACTCCAAAGTTCGGAGAAGAGGAGATGAATTCATTCCTCTGGGTTCTAGTTTACTTGGTTGATTGTTGTTGGGCTTGAGGGGAAGTCTAAATAAGCTTAATCTATTTTGTTCATCCACTCTTTGACTTGGGGGCATCTAAGGCAAGATCTATGGCTAAGTGAAAGTTAAGTTAATCCTCTAAGTAGAGGAGACAAAAGAGGTATAGCAAGCATGTGGATAAGCACCAAGTAAGGTACCTAATATGATGCTCTTGGAGTTCATTGGATAGGGTTTTCTTTATACGTTCTTCTAATTTACCTTCTCGTAACTCTTATCAACCTTTTTTTTGCAAAAGAAAAAAGTGGTTTGTCCCTTAACCATCTTCATTCAAATTTCTGTAGTGGAGTGGGGTTACCTGAAATAGTTAATGTCAAACTTCATTTCTGCTCCCAAAGTGGGTTTGTCTCTTAATCCATCTTCATTTAAATGTACTAACATATGTACTGGAGTGGGTTACCTTGAAGTAGCTGGTGTCAAACCTCATCCTGCTCCCATATATAGGAGGGATTTCTCATTCTTGTATATTGTTGTCAGTATTAGTTGGATATTTATTTGAGTAACATTAGGCAACAATGATAACAGAGATTGCTCTAGGTATGAAATTTTATCTTGCTTTAATGAATATTATATGATGAAAAGGCGTAGGGTTAATGTCAAATGCAAGTAATTGGTAGAAAAACTTTTTACATGAGTTGCAGGCACTTAAGCTAATTTGACATACTGTGTTGTTTTTCTTTGTTTAACTTTTGGTGTTCATTTTCACTTTGGTACATTGTAGTGGCAACAAATGGATATTGAATACACTTTCTGGCAAATGCTTCATTTGTGTACCTCGCCAAAAGTTGTGTAAGTATCCGTCTATTTGTAACCTCTGTTATGAGTATTGCTGCATTCTTCTTGTGTCTTGCCCTTGCTTCCTTATCTTGTTTCATTACATTCTTTGCTGGCTTAGATATATTCAGCCATTCAATGAAGTATATCTGTGGGTTACAGCAATTTTAAATTAATATAAGCTTGTAATTTCCATAATTCCATGTAAAAGATGACACCTATTTTGGTATATATTTTCTTGTATTGATCATAGAATTTTGTCTGTGCATATCAGAGATTATTTGTTAAGAAACTGGCTTTCTTTGTGGTGGTATCCAGTATATGTAGAACTTTTTCCAGCAGTTGTTCAATGTAGCTGAGACATGCCAATCTGAGCTTTATATATGAAAGATAATCTTCATTATAGAGACACTTTAATCAAATTAGGTTGCAGGTGATATTTGAGTTGTTATTGAAGAACTGCATAAACCACTCTCTCTACATAACTAGAAAACTATATCTACACATGTCTTTGTGGGAAAATGTAATGTTTGTGCTATGATAGTACTACAATTCGATTCTTTTTGTAAGGCCAACCTACCAGCCAAGTTTTTGACAGGCAAAGTTCTTAGGTAAGGCTGGTAATAACATAAACCATCTTAAATAATAGTAAATGGTGGATATTTAAAAATCAAAAGGTAGCAAAATTTACCATGGTTTATTTCTTAAAACATTGGACCAAGTTCTTGAGTATAAGATCCACTGTCTGAAAAGCTTCGGTCTCCAGACTGATCAGCTACCCCATTTTATACAATAGGTTGACAAAGAGGGATCATCAACATTCCTTTTTAAGCAGGTAGGTTCTTGAAATCCTAATCAGGAGACATCTTCTAAAAAATATGGCATAGCTTTCTCATGTTTTCACAATCCTTCTTCGCAAGCTGCTTTTTGTTTTTTACATTGTTAAAATTAGGTCTGCAAGTTAAATGGAATGTTTTATTTTTTTTTGCTTTCAGCATAACTGGAGCCAGTTCGACACCCTTATTCATTAGTCATAGTGAGGATCCCACATTTAAATGGTAGAAATGGAACTAATTGTTTAATTACTTTAGATCATTAGTTAAACTTGATATAAAATCAATGGAATTCAAGGAACATTGAAATATAAGTAAATGCGGGCGACATGGTCAAATGTGATATGCCTTAATGAAAACATAGGCTTGCAATAGTTCATCCCCAGGGGCATGTTCTATCAATTTACTACTTCTCTCTTCCACTAATTATTGTCAATGTTATATATAGTCTCTTTCAAGGGCCATGTTCTTTAAGAACATTTGGGCCATTTTAAGAACATTTCTACCTTTTTCATTGAGTCTCTGCTCTCTTTCTTACAGAATCTGCCTTGCGTTCTTATGGTAAGAGTAAATTTTTTATAGGCATGATTGCATCTTCGGTTGGTTTTGGGTGAGTCTTTTGCATTCATGACTTTACTTGTCTTATGTCACTTTGTGTCAAAAAATTCATGCTTTTCGTATGTCAATTCTCTAAAAGTGTCATGGACTTGTAAATGCGATGTACTGTTTCTTCCTGCATAATTTCTCTATTCTTATTTTATTTATAATTTTTGGTTCCTCTAGATTCTGATATTTTTACTCTATGCAAACGTGTTAGAATAGAGAGGATGCAAAGGCTAATATTACATTCAACTACCATATGCTAATGTCCACATTTGTTATGCGTTGCAAAATAAAATGGATATTGGATTGTGGAACTTGTAAATGACAAATGACTCCATGTTTTGCATGTGGAATTCTGAACTGGATGCAGCTATCAGCATACCAAGTACCATAAGCGTAAGTCAGCATTCTTCAGTCTGGTTGGTCTTCAAGACCTTGTAATTGGATGTTGTTGCGTTGTGCAATCCAATAATGGGCATAAAATGCAAATTCTCTGCGGATTTCCTATGTAGTCTTGATGGATTAAAAATAACACAGGAAAATCCCCATTTTCGGATTGTTACAAATATATGCCATAAGAAAGGGGTTTTGTATAATCTTGATTTACTTTCTCTCTCTGCAGAAACAAAAAATCAGTGGGCACGTGATGATCCTGCTTTTATTGTAATTTGCATTCTTCTCTTGGCAGTTTCAGCTGTTGCGTATTCTGCAGCGTAAGTCATTCATATCCCCGACACTTGTTATCATGAGAAAAGTGGATACAAGTACAACTCCACATGGTAGAAACTTCTATCGAGGAGTCGTTTGTGGAATTTCTTATATCAACTACAGAACCATATCTGCATGTTAAAGTACTTTGACTTAACCTGCCAGCAACTTCTGGAAAAGCAAGTAGGGAAGTCCCATGGCTTAATACCTACGCCCTGTCTTTTTGAAGTATATAATATTTATATACGGAAAATGAACTCACGCACCCTCATCTTTGTTGAGGTTTGAACCCTTGACCTCCTAGGAGGTTAAGTTCTATCGGTAACCCTGCTACTGCTAGGCCATAGGACTTCGGTTCAACAGGAAAAACATTTTTCCTATCTTCCCAATGTCTTGCATGTCAAAATATCAGTAAATACTCTTTGTCCTAAAAAAAATGCACAATTTTAGAAATTTATAATCATTACACTAACTGAATGACAATTTTACCGTTGATAATTATTGCACCTTTTTAATTATGACAATCATGTCTCCATCTCATGAACTCTTAAATAATTGTGTGTCATAATTAAGGGTAGAACTGGAAATTAGGTAATTATAACTATTTATTTTTGAAAGTGGACTATGTATTTTGGGACAAACTTAAATAAAATGTGGACCCTTATGTTTGGGATGGAAGGAGCATTATCCATGGGAAAGCATCTTACCTTCTTGGAACTGACCTAGCCAAACTCTGCTGAATGTTGCCACTTTAACACCCCAAGACATCTTTCAGCATAACACAACTTCAACATGTCTATCTTTTCATGCAGTTAGTAAGTTAAGTACGAATGGCTATCTTTATACACACAAGCACATACTCAAAATCCATGGCTTGTATTATTGTTAGCAAATCCTATTAATAAGTCACAGATGATTCGGAACTCATCGTAGCTGCTATCCACAGTTCACAAAATGGGCTTCATTCTTTTTTGGTGGTCCTATCACCAAATCTTAAAATAAAGTTATCCAATCTAATATATTTTATGTCAAAAAAACAGTGTTACGATGTTCCATTTCTTGTGGCAACTGATTGTTGCCAACAGTTAATTATGCATTGAATGTTGGAACTATGATTCAGTTATTGTATTGCTATGATTTTTATTTTTTAGGTATGATCATAGCATTGGGCATGCTGTTTTTGTGGTTTTCTCAGTGACGTGCGTCCATTTTCTATTAGCGGGAGCAGTTGTTGCTACAGTTTGCTGGTAAGCGTTGTCACTGGTACAAGAACCATACATAATAGTTTTCAAAATTTGTGAAGATATTGCCTTAAAGTGTGAATGTTTATGCTTGTTTTAGACGAATACTTTATAAAATCAGGATACTGTTGCATAATTCATTGACCTTATTGTGTGGATATTATTCTAATTTTTTTTGTAGGTTTCTGACAAATACTTATCTTCGGGAAGAAACCTCAAACAGTCATGTGGTAGAACAACGCGTTGAATGGCAAGTTCATGAACTTTCTTACCTCCCTTTTCCTTGTCTAATACGTTTCATGACATATTTGTGATCCATTTCTAGCATGGTGATGGTTGCAAGTAATCAAAAATAGCGTTAGCTTGTTTCTGCAAGTTTTGTTCTGTGATAGCGATCCATATGCAGCATGAGATAAATACAACCACCCAGCTCAAATAAGGTTATTCATTGGAATTATCAGTTCCTAGCCTTAAAAATGAATGAAAAAGGCCTCCCATTACAGCGATGTCCTTTCTATATACTTGTAAGATAGGCTGAGACAAATTTATTTGAGAAACTGATTTTAATCTTGTGCTTGTTGTACAGGTTGTATGCATTTGATGTGCACTGTAACTCCTTTTTCCCATTGTTTGTTGTGCTGTATGGTAGGTGCAATGGATCAAATGCTGCTTCTTGATAGTTGCTGTTAATAAAATTTACATGCACTAAATAATCCTTTTTTTTGGGTTTTGCAACAGTGATACATTTTTTCATATCACCTCTTCTGGTTGCACATGGCTTCATTCCACTTCTGCTGTCAAATCTGATTTTTACGGTGGCCATGTCTTACTATCACTACCTCAACTTTTTAGGTTATGACGGTAAGAAGCTTCTTGACCTTATAACCTAAGGTCATTACTACCATGCTTCCTCCCTCCATTTGTGTCTATGTGCATCTGAATGCATGCATAGAGTTAATTGTGAATGACCTTGAGTGAAAAGAACATTACATTGTTGTTGATATGTGTTTGTCCCAGCTGTTCTATATGGGTGTATTTGATAAGTGGGATAGGACGGTACGAGAACTTGTTACCTCACATTTGGTGCCACATTAGATTGGAACAGGACAGGACCTGAGTGGGACAAAATGCATATTTTCGGTCCCACCAGAATCAGGTATGGACAAGATTGGTAAGTTACTAAACTATCTATGTCAAATTAAAACCCTAAAACCTTCCGTAATCTTTCACCCGCCTACCTCACTCTCGCCCGTGTAGTCCGCTTCAATCCAGTCCCATCTGATTACTAAGCACAATTGGTCTAGTCGTGCTCGCTTTTTAGGATTTCTTTCAAACAACGATCTCTTAGATTTTAGAAGCTAGGCTGTGAATCCCCTAAGTTTTTGCAAATGAAAAATCATGCATTTTTTTAGTTATTCACTTTTGCATTCCATTCATTACATGCCAGGAGTCAAAACATATTTGATTCCATGTAAGATATTTAGGAGGCACTTCAGTAAGTTTCCTAACAAATTATAATAGAGTCATGTGTAGGCCAATTAAAAATAAAAAGGATGCTCACGTCCTTGATTAAATTAAATATATGATAGTGCATCACTTTATGCGGTGGGTCGGGGGACAAAATGTCCAGAAAATCCTGAGGGAAAATAAAGCAGATTCTAAATCCTAGAATACCAAAAACAAAAGTTACTAGCTTACGACTTTCAAACTGAAAAATGTTACTTCTCCACTTAGAAAGAACTTTATTCCATTTTTGTTGAACAGAAAGAAAAAATAATTGCTACATTTTTTAACAAAATGATTGATTATTTGCGAATTCATTTGTTTACACATTTTAATTTATTTTCTCAAAATGAAGCTAAATCAAATAGTGATTTTGATGGTAGTATGAATTTGATTTATGCCTATCTTCCTCTTACATGCATATTTTATAGGAGATGATGCTTTTCAAGGATTTATTTACGAGAAAGCGTATTTTTCAAAGCAATGTGAATGATTATAAGCTTTTCCATACCATCAATCCTGATTTCTTTTAATGAAGTTATTTTTGATGGTTTCTAATGAAGATGTAGCAGGTTAGAAAGATCCCATAGTCTATCCTTTTCAAGATTAAATAATCTAACAAATAGGAGAACAAGTTAATTTTCCCACCAGATGCAAGACTTATTTTCATACTATTCCCTTGGAGGTTGGACCCCCAAAAGAACCCACCTTTTGACTTTAGATATTCAATCTTTGTTATCTTATTTTCGAGTGGGATATACTGGTTTGGTTTTTTCTTCTGAGATAGATTTCTTTGTAGTTATTTATTATCTGCATCCTATTCTAGTACTTTCTACATGATTAAATATAGTTATCTGACTTGTCAATATTCTACACTTATCGTGTCAATGCGAAGTTAAAAAACAGGACAAACCTCTAGCTACCATTAGTTTTTTTTTGATTAACCTGGATATCCAACCCGCTATGCGAGTCGACTAATCCCAGGGCGACCACCTGCTTTGCATATAGCCCGGAGTCACCGCATTTGAACTTCCGTGGCCACAAGGGGATTTTTATTCCTCCTTGGATTTGAACCTGGGACCTCCAAGCTCAAACCAATCAGGCACCACCCTTGTGGTTAGCTACCATTGGTTTTACCACAAACTCATACAATTTCTAGTTTTCTATATGTAGAAGACATGTGATCTAATATACATTCTCTTCTTGATAACCCTCCCAAAGAAGAAAAAAAGTGGCAAGTATGATGTAAAATTGATGATAGCCATAGATTTCCTCTGCAAATAACATATCTGGCCTTCAAAAGCCAAACTGTACACTCTTCTTTATGGAAGAAGGTTGCAGCAACTATATTACAGTGCAATCTGTTTTTTTTAAAGTATTCAATATTTTACGTGAAAACTCTCACACACTCCTCACCTCTAGACTCTAGTGAGGCTTGAACCCTTGACCTTTAAGGAGGTTGGGATCTAGCGGTAACCCAGATACCGCTAGGCTAGTGATCCTTGGGTGTTAAAATTCAATCTTATTAGCACATATAAGTAATCATCCTGAGATGCATCCTTTATGCTGCAGTGCTCCCATTTCTAGAGAAGACCACTTTCTTTCTATATCCAATCGGCATTGTCATCATTTTTACACCCATCTGTAAGTGTTACATTCATCCTTCATAGACCTGTATTGCTTGCTTTCTTTTGTCTGTTAAAATCATGGCATTTGAACACAAAATAAATGTTTTTCGTTTTGCAGTGATCTTAAGCGGGTTCAATCCATCAAGATACTTTATGAACATTTACTACAGTCAACGGTCATGATTTGTTGAACTCAAACCTATTTGAAGTTTGATATGGTATACATGGGCATGGGAGTTAACTTTGAAAACTTACATGAATGTTAGAAGATGAATAGTGTATGATGATGCATGCATGCATGCATGCATGAATGAATGCATCCATCCTTTATTGCTTAATGTATACAGAAGGGAAAGCTAGGATCACCATGCACCACAGCAGCTTCTTTGTGTTCTCACATGTGTAAATGCACCTTAATGCTATTCTGGTTGAAAATTTGTAGTGATATCAGGGTCAACAATGTCTTTTTTACATGGCCCCAGATTTGAGGAAAGAAATGAGGTTGAATAGAACCATTTTTGCTATGCTATATATATACACTCTTTTAACTTCCTTTTTTCCTTTTTTCTGTCGATCCAAGTATTCTAATACATCAATTGGGCTCATCTACGTCTATGTTGTATCAAACAAGTAAAAATAATAAGTATATCAACATCGGCCACCGTCACTTTCAAGGTTTTGCGGTCGTTTTACACATATGGGTGAGAAGACAAGTGGGTTTGAAGTTTTGCACATAATGTCGTACCACGTTTGCACAAAATGTTGAATCAAACCACACCAAAAAGAGAGATTTTCAAATGCGATGATTCTGGGTATTTGTAAAGTAGGTGATCGTTCTGTGATTAGTTGAATCAAACCACAACAAAAAGAGAGATTTTCAAATGCGATGATTCTGGGTATTTGTAAAGTAGGTGATCGTTCTGTGATTAGTTGACTCGCATAATGGATTAGATATCCAGGTTAATTAAAAAAAAAAAAAAAGAAAGAGAAAGGGTACATGAAAAATTAATTTGATTATATGATAAATATATATATATATATATAATAATAATGTCATGGCATATGTCATGAAGAGCATGAATGATGTGAGTGGAAATGCAATCATAAGAATAGAAAAATATGGTGACACAACATATCACTTTCTTGACAAGTCTTCTATATCTTTAAAGCATCATCCACCACAAACTTTTTGGAATACGGAATGAATCCAATTTTTAGATTTAATCAACTTTTTAACTATTTTTTTTTCTTTTTCTTTTACGATTTTCATCCCTGTGGTTTACTAAAACTTGCCGCTTTTGTCCTTGCGGTTTGAAAATTGTTTCTCTTGTCCCTTTGGTTTTCATTGTGTTACCCTTTTCATCTCTAAGACCAACAATGTTAGAAAAAATTCGTTAAATAGAGTGTAGTTTGGTCTTCTCACCATTTTATTTATTTATATGAAAAATTTAACAATATTTTATAGATAAGTCCCTTAAAAGCAACGACTCGTGTTTCTCTTTCTTTCTTGTTTATCTCCAACGATTGCACCAAAACCAATTATTGGTTGTTGGGTATGGGTTAACGCCTTTTCAAGATTGAAATACATCAAGTTGATTGCAAACATTAACACATTCGAAACTAATTGACTGTTGAACTCTTTTGGTGACTAATTTCGAAAAAGAAAACAAAGGGACCCTAATTAAATATAGCCTCGTCTTAGTTCTACCCTTGAACCAACAATCCATCACAAATCGACCTTGAAGCAATGAATGGCCATTGATAAAGCTCATAATCGGGGAAAAAGGTGTTGCTGGTGTCGATTAAGTGAGGAGTTGTTTTGGAAGGGGGCTACCAGAAAAAAAGTGGAGGGGGAAGAAGATGTCGACCGCGTCAATTCGGCAGGGCAAGGGTAGGGTGGGAGATTAGTTATTTATTTATTTATTTATTTATATAAAAACACTTCAATTACTTGTATAATAATATGTCATTTATAAAAAAAAATAGAAAAAAAAGCTAAAAAGACCACCGTTTGGCCCGGAAACAAGAAAACAAACAAAATGAAAACCAGATATAAAAAAGCAGTTTTAAAACCATAAGGACAAACTTTTAATACCAAAATCAATAGTTTACTCTTTTCTTCTTAATGATTTTGGAGGTTGGTGAGCAAGTGGCTTCCTTTATTATCTTTTTGGAATCATATCTCAATTTTCCAAAAATGTTTATATTGATTCAAACAAAAAATGCCTACTACCATTACCATCTTTTTTGGATTTTTTTTTTAATTAATCTGAATATCCAACCTGCTAGTGAGCCGATTAATTCTAGGACGATCACCTGCTTTGCAGATAATCCGGAGTTATCGTATTTGAACCTCCGTGGACACAAGAGGATTTTTATTTTTCATTGGATTTGAATCTGAGACCTCCTGATGCTTTTGACCTTTGAAGCCAAACTCAAACCAATCATGCATCACCCTCATGGTTAACAAAATAATTAACAAAATACAACTATTTAAAAAAGCATTCATTTTTTTACCCACCGTTTATGTTGAATTTTGTTCCGTACTGATTAATCAAAATATTTACTGTAAATTTTCTAACGTGTTTCTTGACAGAAATAAAGTAAGAATATACTGTAGACCAAGATTGAAGTTAATAATTTTATATCATAATTACAAATTGACATAATGGTCACTTTGGATTGAAAACTTTAAATATAAGTATTTGTGGTCTAGCTTAAACCAAAGAAAAATTGGATTTGACCAGGTTGGTCACGATATTTACGGTTGAATGGTTTTGAAAACTTCAAACCGTGAAAACTCGATTCAAGAAACTCTGAACTAAGAAAACTCGGTTTCAAGAATAAATTGTAATGCGGTAGCAACCAAACCACCGAGACCAAATCCGTAATTAACTTTTAGTCGATTAAATAATTTTGCTTTGAAATTGTTAAATATTATTACACACAAATGACGTCATTCTGATGTCACACTACCCTCAACTCATGAATTACGAAAATTACCCCTTGTTGACTAACTCAATTTTTTGCATTTTAAGAAAAAAACATTTTAACCAGAAAAAATTCTTGGTTCTTGTTATATTCATCCACTGAGGTAAAATAACCTGATAAAGTTTACTGTGCAAACGTTTTATAAACGACCCCTAAATAGAAATTGAGGAACTCAAGACTGTATCCTTCTAACAACCTTTTCGTATTATACTTTTAAAAAAAAAGTTAAATGAAAACGTACAAAAAATTCAAGAAATCATTCAAATCAAACACGAGACTGAAATTGAATTCGATTCCAATTTCGTTTGAAATTCTACAAATCAAACAGAGCTAAATATTAAATATAAAAAGTGGAGTAAAATCTGAACTATGAACATAACTGATATTTTAAAGATGATGTATAGCAACGATGATAGAGACATTATATCTTATCATATTAAAGGTTTTCACAAACCACACTCTATCTTTAGAAAAGTATAATTCACAATAGTAAATCAGTTCTATAATATTTTCGATTTTACAGGTAGTTTTCACATCAAAATAAAAAATTTATCGATAAAAAAGTCGTATATAAAAAAAATTAATATTTAATTCAAGAACCGTCGAATCGGAAAAATTGGGTGCTGTCATATAATTTTGTATCGGCTAAGTTTTACGAGTTGGAGATAAGCGGACTTGAACCGCTGACATCCGTCGCAAGGTAAACCACTGCTCTTTCTTTTAAATTCCGTTGGCCAGATGTTGAAGCTGCACCAAGGCTTAAGTCTGGACAGACGGTGAAAAATACCGAGTTGGAGTACAGTAGGGGCAGATTTATTTTAAGAATAAAGCATCATATTAGATATTATATTAGATGACCCCTTCTTCTTCAAGCGGAAGTCCAAATTGAAGAGTTACTAGAAATGCTACCCATTCAATAGAAAAATTATTTAATTTAAAATAATATATTTCTCGTCATTAACGCTTGAAACTTGAGGATCAGGTAAAATATAAATTTGATAAGATTAATTAATTAACATCGTTTTTTTATTCACCTCCTCCTTAGATTTAAAGAAAGGGAGGAGAGGGACCTTGTAATTAATTTCGGTATAATTCATTTATTACTTTTATTGCTAAATATCACGAGAACACGATGTCATATTATCGTCATATATACAAACTCCGGGTTTTGTTTATTTATTTTATTCAACGGTTTTTTCGATGTAAATAAAAATTTCAACAATTTTCTAATTATTTTTGCAAAAAACCGATCACCAGTAACTCCACTTGGTTTCACATGAAACCCACATTCAAAGACATCGATATCAAAAACTATTTTTTGACTCGTTCAACAGCTGAGACTAACGGAAAGTCTGGAATCAAAAATTGATTTTGATAGAAATCTTTAGCATTTAAAAATAGATTATATTACGCATAAATGTTTAAAAATAAAAACCAGATACGTACAATTGTAGAGATATACGCCTCGTTATCTGATAAACTAAAATTAATTATTTTATAAAATACAACCAAAAATAGATTGGTGGAATATTGCAAGATTTGATGCATGAGTATTTTTTTTTAATTAACATGGATATCCAATCCGCTATGTAAGCCGACTAATCCCAGGGAGACCACCTGCTTTACAGATACCCCGGAATCACCACATTTGAACCTCCGTGGCCACAAGGACGTTTTTATTCCTCCTTGAATTTGAACTTGAGACTTCCTGATACTTTTGATCTTTGGAGCCAAGCTCAAACATATCAGACACCACCCTTTTGGTTTGATGGTGAGCGTTTTGGTATCACTCATTATCAAACACGACATTTTCTTTGTAATATCAACAATCATTAAAATTTTGATCCATATTTTTAAAGTTACATCAACACAATATAAAATATAACCATCCGTCACATTCAATTGTCAACAAAATATAAGACTAATAGTGTAAGTTTCGTGAATTTGTGTTTTTTTTTGTTGATCCGTCGTTTATTCATCTTCGAGTTTGCTGCCAGCAACGTCCACAACAAACCGGTATCTGACGTCATTCTTAGCCAACCTCTCCATCGCGGTGTTGACGTAGTCCATCTTCACCACTTCGATCGTGGATCTCACCCCTTTCTCCTTGCAAAATTCGAGCATCTCTTGAGTCTCCTTCATGCTACCGATGAATGTTCCCGTGATCATTTTTCTCCCTTTTTTACAAAGACGTGACGATAGAAGTTAGAACGCGTACAAAAATCACTGTGATAATGTTGGATATGTAGAACCCTTTGAATTTCTGTGACATAATTCTTTCAGAAAAGTAGAAGGTTTCTACATGTATAAAAAACTTTAATCTCATGTAGACTCCAGCTTTGATACCATGTTAGAATATGTAGAACTCTTTTGAATCATTTTCTGAAAAAACCCTTTTTAAAGAGTGAGAAATGAAGTCTCGACATATATATACGTGTTCGATGATCTGTGGTTTGTGTTTAACTGACGTGAGACTAAAATGAACAGTAAAAAAGAGAGGCTCACCGAGCATGAGGAGAGGGGAGACAAATTGCAACGGAACATTGATGACGCCCAATATGATCAATTTTCCATCGAGTTTGAGCAACGAGATGCTAGGTTCAAGAGGGTGGTGCGCAGGGACGGTGTCTATAATGTAGTCAAAGGAATCGGCTAATTCTTGCATACGGTTGACATCAGAGCTGACGAGATAATCGTCAGCTCCAAGAACATCCATGGCCTCCTCTTTCTTCTTGTCGGAAGAGGAGATAACAGTCACGTGATGTCCCATGGCTTTAGCTATCAAAACACCCATGTGTCCAACTCCACCAAGCCCAAGTATCCCTCCTTTTAGCCCACTCTCTTTTAATCCAAAGTGGTTCAATGGGCTGTACACCGTCACTCCGGCGCATAGTAGTGGCGCCACCTGCTCCGGCGACATTCCCTCCGGTATCTTAACCACAAACCTATATTTATTTTTCAGAATTAGAGAAATTAATTTGGGTTTCTTTAGTCTGTGACAGTCGAAGATACATACATATAGATAGATAGATAGATCGGAAATTACTTTTGGTGGACGACCATGGAGCTGGCGAAGCCACCTTGAGTGGGCTTGCCGTCGGTGTAGACGTCGTTATAGGACCATATCTTTTTGTTGCAGTATTGCTCCACCTCGGCCTTGCAAGGGAGGCAGCTGTCACAGCAACCGACGAGACATCCAACTCCGACGCAATCACCTACCTTGAATTTGGTCACCTCCGGTCCCACCTCCACCACCTCACCCACCACTTCATGTCTGCATCCACCAATCCCACCATCAAAATCCACCAAAATTAAATATTAGAATACTACCAATCCTTATCTCCATTCTCCCATCAATCATTCAAAATCCAGATTTCCTTTATCTCAATTCAATACCATAAATTCAATCAACTCCATCATCGATATAACACTTATTGATCTAGAGACTCTAAGCAAAATAACTCATCAGTACGTATGACATGATTTAATTCCCTCGTTAATTATATTTGATTCGTATTTTCACAACGAATACATAAAAGAAAATCGTCTTCGAAACAAAAAAAGGGGGTAAAATCAGGGTTTGAAATTGAAAAACTGACCCTGGAACCATAGGGTAATTGGACATTCCGAGATCATTTTTGATCTGATGAAGATCAGTATGGCAAACTCCGCAGCATATCACCTTTATGAACACATCTTCTGCTCCTGTATTTCTGTAACATAAACACATCAAGTTATAGTTATATATAGATATAGATACAGATATCGTATGTATAGGTAGAAGCAGAGGAATTGAAGGTACCGGAGAGGGAAGGTGTAGGGAGAAAGAACACCGGAAGGATCAGTGGCAGCCCATCCTACCGTCTTCCTTTCTTCTTTCAAACTTCCCATTTCCGACTTCTGATATCCGGCGTATATCTCGGAGACAGAGTGAGTCACCGGAATGTTTGTAGAGAGAGAAAGTGTAAGTGTGTGCTTATGAAGAGAGGTGGATACATGTATATAACCACACACCAAAGGAGGGACCGGTCTCCTACCACCGCTTCGGTTTTAAGGTCAAACATCTGTCTTTTTCTTTTATTTTATTTTATTTTTATAAATATTTAATTAAACCTTATAAAACAAATATTACGGTATATACTTTCTTGGAGTAAAACATTTTATATATTTATTTTTATTATAAGAGTACTCGTAAAATGCAGTGAAACATATTTTATTTTAATGTTTTATTTTATTAGTTGTCTTTGTCGATGTTATAATACGATTTTATGCATTTTTAAGAAAACAATAATGATTTTATTTTTGAATAAAATATAAATTTGAAAATATCTTAAAATTTTGAAAAAAAGATATATCAATGTTAATATTAAATCTATTTAAAAGTTCTCATTTTTTATGTTATTTCTTTAATTTATTTTTTTATTATAATTTAATTTAAGTTTAATAACGAAATAATTTATTTTTGGTTTAATAACATAACATGTTATAAAGATAGTAATTAAGTATTCTGTTAGAACTCAATGATTATCCTAATTATATTTTAGATTTTTTATATTTAAAATAAGATGTTTATACTATATTTGATTATGTTTATCTGTAGTTAGTTACACAAATTTAGATATGGAGCTTTAATAAGTTGTATTTACATACAATCTACTTGTAATTTTGAGTTTTAAGTAATATACATTAATAAACAATACTTTACACATAAAAAATGGTTTTTAAGAGTTTTTGTCAAATATTTTATAATATAGTATAGATAAATTAAATTAAATTAAATTAAATTAAATTAAATTAAATTAATTAAGAGGTTAAGTGCCACGTGTGAAAGGTGGGTCCCACTTATGGGAGTTGGTGAGCTTCCGTCATCCTTCCATTTCACCACGACAAAAACACCGCAACCAATAAGGTTTATGCAAGTTGTTTAAATGAACAGGAAACGACGTAGTACCGATAAGTTCAAAATATAAAATAACGAAAGTTAAGGTGTAAACTTCAATTCTGGTCCTTGAGGTTTAGTGGATAGTTTGAATATGGACTTGAATTTTTGATAAATCTAGAAATTGTCCTCGTGGTTTGTAAGTGTTTCCTAGTCACTAAATGACTGTTTACTAAACGTTTAACGGTAAGGGATATAATCGTTACTTACCTTATTGTATAATATTTGTAGATCGTTGGTAAGTGTCTTAAACGAGGTAAGTGTTTATTGAGTAAGGGGTTGTTTGGTTTATTTTCCATTAAGACCTGTATGGATAAAGTTATCTGTATTAATAAAGTTGTCCATATGATATAAGATAAACTGTTGTTCAGTTGTAGTACTAAATAAACAGTCTGAATGACCATTTTGCCCCTAAGCTTATGTTGAACAACGATAAAAATAATCATTTGATAAATTTGATTATTTTACCCTTTAGAGTACACCCACCACATAACCACACATCTCCATCACGATGAAACCTATTGGTGAACTTCATCTTCTTCCATGCTTCCATCCTCCACTTTTTTTTACCTTTCCCATCCGTGAACTGTAGCTTGCCTTCATCTCTAGCCTCCGTCACCGTCGTTGCTCTACCAAATATCAACCCCTTACGAGATCCATAAAATCAAACGGATCTAGATAAGTTGGTTCGAAATTGAAGGTTTTCGTCTAATTTCTTTTGCAACAAATCTAGGTAAGTTTTTGAGTTTAAGATTCGATTAAGTGAATATTGTTGCTTATTGCTGCGAGTGTGAGTCGAATCGTACAATTAGGCTTGAAGATAACCAGCAATACTGTTGCGACCAATTTTTACTGCTATCGAGCTTAACATCAACCCCTTACGATCCCATAAAATCAAATGTCGTTTGTGTTTTGATTGAGTCAAGGTGGAGATGACGGTGGATTTAAGGTGGGAGAGGGAGGAGGGTGTGGTGAGTAGGAAGTTACCAGAAGAGTCGAACAATATTTAAAATGTGAAAGGGCAAACTTGGAATAAAGAGATGAATAAATGGATGAGTCCATACTCCATAGGACTCTGCATTTCTGGCTGACCGGTTAAGCCATCGGCTGTCTGAATAATCCATAAACGAACAACAATGTATGGCTGACTGAATAAGCCATACATGCTTAACAACTCATTCAGCCATTACCGAACAACCCCTAAGAGTCTTATCCCTTACTTGCCGGATAAAACTCTCAGTCCTTGATACGCCTCTTACCGAGCAGACTCTCAATTCTTGTCATGTTCAATCGGTAACATAAGTGGTATCGATAAGCACTTACACGATAAGTCTTTAGTAATGGCTCCTAACTTTGTTTATTTTCTTTGTTAGAATAAGTGCATTTCAGTCTTTTCATCAAAATCTTGAATTTTATTTTATATCTTCTATAAAAAAATAATGATTTTTAGATTGGGAGAGAAATTTTATATAAAATAAATTACAAAACATAAAATAAATACAATTTTTTTGATGAAAAAGAAAATCCCTGTGCTCTAACGAAGAAAATAAACAAATTCAACGATCATGGATCACTTTTTGAGCAAAGTGAAAACCATAAGGATGGTTTCTAGATTAATTATAACTCAGGTTCACTTTTAGACTTTTCACTAAACTTCAAAGACCAAAATTGAAGTTTACTCTAGAAATAAGTAAGGGGCCGTTTAAAAAAAAAGGGTTTATTGGCGGGGACCTCATGGCCCCGTGGTCCACATTTTGTGAGCCCTACTTGCCATACCTCATAAGCAAGCACCGGAAAAGACAACATGTCCTCCCCTGGAATCGGACCTTTACGGGCACGCCCAAGGCAAGGCATTAACGGAAGGAGGTACCGATCAATTAATTGACTAGGGTGGGATTCGAACACTAGACCTCCTAGGAAGCCAAGTGCCCTTGCCACCACTAGACCAACTAGTGATTGGTGTGTAAGGGGCCGTTTACTTGCGTGTTAATTAGGCTTATTGGTCTATCTGACTTATTCGCACAGCTCATTTGGGTTGTTTACTTATGGCTTATTAGCACAGAACATGGCTTAATCGTACAAATAGAAATGGTGTGTTGTCCCTATTCAGCCACAAAAATGACACATCTACCCTTTATTTAAAATACCGCCTCCTTCCCATATGAGACACCCCATCTTCGGCTTTGTTTTGATGTTCAAATAATTAATATTGGGAGGTAAATCGTTCATTTATGTTATTCAAACTATTGGTTCAAATAAAAAAGTAAACAACAACACTCATTTATTCAGACAGACAAATTTATCCATACAAGACTTAATAAAAATTTTGGTAAACAACCCCTAAGTCTTAAATTTCATGGATTCTATAGGTTGATATATTTGAAACACGTTTTATAAAAATAAATGTCATATAAAAGATATTGAATGTTTCAGAAAAAAAATGTCTTAGAAAAATTAATAGATCACTTTATTTCGAAGTGTCTTTAAGAACTTGTTAGGATGTCTAAATACGTTTGAACATCCTATTGTAACATATTTACATTTGACACAGTTGTTTGGTCGTATAAACTTAGTCATATAAAATAGTATATTAGAACATTTAGATATATTTAACGTCCTATAGGATCAGGTCCGTTCCTGACATTTTATAGGTGTTGGTCTAGATGTAAAAAAGGGTCATCGATAAATACAAAAAAATCTTCCATATTGTTTTTTATCATTAGAAATGACGTTGAATTCTAGAAGTCCTAACAATTGAAATAAAACTGTTTTTCTGAGCATTCCTAGATACAAAACGATCAACAGTTATTTCTAAATTAATATATATACCATATCGTTTTTATCTAACATTGTCAATTCTTTCCACCACAAAAGACATCTTATGATATACGTTTAATAATATATAGATTGATATCATTTGGCGTCACAATGTTGGCTGTTCGAAGTAACACTCCATGTAAATCAATATAAATCAGTTGAATTTTCATCTCACTCCGTGTTAATGTTTTTCTTCTCAATTTAATTTTTTTTTATGGTAAGACACACTTTTCGGAACCATGAATATTAGAATCAAAAGCCCATAGCTTGAGATCTTATTCTTATTTTAGAAATAAGATAGTTATTACAGTTATTGCACTCAATATTAGGTAATAAGAAGTCAATAATGTATGAAAAAACGAGAGTAGTTCTTGAATCCTAAATATAGATATAAGTTGGACCGTCTCATATGGTTGATAATTTTTTCAAATGTTTCAAATATAAAAATAGAATTCATGAAGGTGGAATAATCAAAAGAGTCGGTGAAAGATGAATGATGGAAATATATTAAGGTTTTTATAATAAATTAGTTTTAGAATTTGGGACCAAATAAAAAAAATAGAGAAACAATTAGGGGTTGTTGGTTCAAGCCGGGGAATGAAATAAGAACAAAAATGAAAATGTCAGAGAATGAAAATAAGAAATGTGATAATTGGGTTTTTCGGTTACAAAGTTCAGGGTAGTTTTTGACTAATGGTAGTAAATTGAGGGGCTTGATGTGTTGATATGCTTAAATATTTTAAAAGGAAATCCCACCGCCTCTTATTGTTTAAAAATGGAAAATATGATATGAGATTTTTTTTATATCTCATTGGTTTTTGGGAGTTAAAAAGAAAAGGAAGTTGGTAATAAGAAAGGGAGCTTTCTGTATGTATTTTTGAGACTGGAAGAATAGAGAACCGAAAGGAGATTAGAAGAATCGATTCTGTGAGAATGATCTGGATATTTTGTAGTTGTTCATCTCCATAACTTCATGTCTTTGTGATTAAGGTGAGTTTATTTTTACAAACTTTCCTTATTTGGTAATTGGAATTAGAACCATATGGTTCTTTATATGATGATGATTATAAAACTGTTTTTGGATGCTATAATTAGCATAATTGTGGGATTTTGATATGTTATATCATGTGTTTGAAATAAAGGTTGCATATCAATGAGAAGTGTTTTTTGAATATAAGGGTGACATATCGATGAGAGCTGTATACTGGGATAATAGTGACATATCAAGGATGAGTG